ACCGGACCCTGGGTCTTCCTGGACGTTTGGTTTCCTAGTTCTTAGCCTCCCATGCCGGCCATTGTGGTCGATTTTCTGCCATTCTGCATAAATGTCTAAACCAAAGTAAATATTACTGATGCATTCGCGTTTGTAAGGTCTGGGTTTCAAGATCTTGACGTATTGACTGATTGCGAACTTTGTCTGTTTTTGTCACTCGGACAACCTTTCTCAGATATTTAATTTCTGAGGTCTGAAGCTGACTTCTAGAAGGAAGGCGAGAGAAAGACAAAGAAAGAATTGGATAAATGGTGTAGATGAAACCTGCAAAAAGTTGAACAAATTCTTCAGTAAAGCCGCCCGAGAAGCGCAAGACAAATACAGAACACCGCGACAATGGGTTACAACCTGGTAACAGTGAGACGACAAAAGAAGAAGAAGAAGAAGAAGAAGAAGAAGAAGAAGAAGAAGAAGAAGAAGAAGAAGAAGAAGAAGATGATGATAAAGAAGCAGAAGAAGAAGAAGAAGAAGAAGAAGAAGAAGAAGAAGAAGAAGAAGAAGAAGAAGAAGAAGAAGAAGAAGAAGAAGAAGAAGAAGAAGAAGAAGAAGAAGAAGAAGAAGAAGAAGAAGAAGAAGAAGAAGAAGAAGAAGAAGAAGAAGAAGAAGAAGCTGACTTCTGTTAGCTGTTGTCATTGCCCATGACTTATACTGGCACATAGGATCTTATCTACGAATCAGAATCGCAAAAGCTGTATTTATCATGTGAAAACAAATGTAAAAACTATTTTCATCCGGTGAAACAAGTCAATGAGGTAGAAACTGGCTTTCAATATTGTGCCACTAAGCATTGGATGGCTGGGTCGTCGTGTTTGCCACTTAGGAATCACAGCTCATGGCGGTGGCGAGAGTGACTGACAAGATCAACAGACGTTAAGAAAAATTTTTCACATGTGCCTGTGATTTCATGACAATTCTTGCCCTCACATGCTTCTTCTCCGACACTTGTAACCCGTCTGCAATACTTTTCTCCCTTTTCTCGATTCCGTTCATAGTCTTTCAACCTCACCTCCTCCCTCCCTTTTACCCCCGCTACCAACTCATTTTTCCTCTGCAGTGATAACCCTGGCATCCCGATCCCGTCAATCAGTCTCAATACCTGTATCATTCATATCTCGCTTGCTGACGTCTTTAAATCGTGGTAAAGGCCAACCTCTACAGATTCTACCTATCTGTATGTCAAATAAATATACGTAAATGATTAGCCAAACAACCGTCGTGTGGTCTTTTCTTCAAATGAGTTGAACTATCGCAGTAGCAACAAAAGCTAGGGATATTTAAAAGTATCGTAGTATAAGGAACCATAACCGTTGTGTTTCGTCTTCTTCGCGTTCTCTTTTACCGTTTTACATAGCTGGCTTACGTGTGTGCATATTATTGGCTTCTGGTCTCCTAGACGGATGCACTCCAACTTCGAAGAAAGCTACTAATTAGTCGACTTTGGTGACACACTTGCTTGGGAAGTTTGGGGACGGGGGGGGGGGGGGGGGGGGGGGGGTCAGTCCAGAAACACCAGGGAGAAGACATGGACTGTAACAGAAGTGTCCCTTAGAATATTTGTACAATTCATTTTATTATAACAGGTCTCTTTTCAAGAACAAACTCAGTGTGTGTTTGGGAGGGGGGGGGGGATAAAGGGGCCTGGGCGCCTAGCTTCTGGCTCCCATATGAATAACTGCCCACATTTTTCTTTCCATCACCGCTGACCTCGTATTGCTGTTTCCAGCCTGGCTTACTAGCTTTTTAAGATAGGACAAGCTCAGGCCTGACAGTGTAACTGTAATTAATTAAGAAATGCTGGTATCGCAGATTGTTTCAGTTGAAGTCATTTCATGTTAAGTGTAGTTGCGAAGTTACGCTAACTTGGAGGGGGTGGGGGGGGGGACATTAAGAACCGTAGCTCCCAGATTCTGGCTTCTATGGATACAAGGCACTGTTGTAAATTTTCTCTGATGTTATCTGTTCATGTTGTTCTTGGTACGTCTCGTGAACTACAGCCGTCTCCTTTCTCGATATATGCACGGTACAGTATGGCATCGCAAAGTATTCTCCCTACATGGGGCAAACCCTTTTATTTGCTGTTTGTGTATGTAGTTTAACATTTGTTCTATAATGGGTACGTCACAGTTATGAAACTGTGTTTGTAAAGTCTGAGTTGCAGACGCCAACATTAAAAATATATTGCATAGTAAATTATATACCCTATCATCATGTCATTAAATAATTCCTAAATGTCTATTTGAATCAAACCTCTCCTCATCACCTCCTAACTGCTATCAAATCCAGCACCCACCCAGCGTCGCCGTAAGAAAACGATCTGGGAACCTATCTCCCCAGACACCCGACCTCCAGGTTACGGGGTCATAAATAGCAGAATTAGGCCACACATCACATCTCCGAACTTCGCCGCAACCAAAACCAGGCCGTGTAATTTCTCTAAATACTCATAAAAGTCACGTTTCTGCCGAGGTAATTTTGGTATAGACTACACTCTTGGGCCAGGAAGCCAAGTGGGACGGGGAACTGTGAATAGGATTGCCCCAGAACATTGCTAATAAAAGGGAGCGGGGGAATTCAGAATTGACATTTAGGTAGGCACAATCTTATTTGAGCCTCATGTGCTTTCAACACATTTTGTTTAATAATAATGCGAGGAGACAGTAAAAATTTATATAAGTAGTATTTAAATTAATTCTAAAAATATGAGTTTATGTATTACAGGGACTTATTTTGCATATATTCATACTCTGATATTTCGGTAATCGTATCTGTATCCCTACCAATTTTTACAGATATCTATGGAATCGTCGCCAGAGCTGTTTATTAGTCAATCTTTCTAGATGTTCAGATCTTTTTAGATGTCAGTATTTCTCCTCTTCTTTGTCCAAGATATTCTGAGAATCTTTCCGTAACATTTCAGCTCAAAATCCCCTGTTCTCTTTCTTAAGGACTGTATGTTTTAGTTTGTATTTTAAATATATGGGTAATGAAAAGATGTAAAATTGTTATTAAATGAATAATAAAGAATGTGTTAGCACAGTTACATAAATTATATTATATAATCCTATAAAAAAGGCTCCAAGTTACACATTATAATGTGTGTTTTTTTTCCTTCAAATTTTAAAATAAATTACATCTAAATTTAAAATAAATTAAAATAAAATTGCAGTTGTAAGTTGTAATTTTTGTAGGCCTCTGCAGACTGTAAGACCAAAGTTGTACGTAGCTTGTACTTCCATCAGGCACTGCATACGTGGTTTACAGACACAAACATATACAGCACATACGAGTTATACTTGAGCAAAAACTACAGTCCCTTAGAAAAACAAACCGTAAACAGACTGTAAGCCTATGCTTGCAAATTATTTTATTGCGCGATTATCAAAATGCCAGATTGGCTGAATTAATTTATAAATGGCACAGTTACGGCTTTCATGTTTATCTGACTGGCTGCCCGTGGGTCTGGTCGAGCGGCGCTGTTTACCACGATGTTGGCTGAAAAATAAGTTTTTTTTTTAAATTTATTTATGTACACATTGCGATGATGTGTGTTCTACAGGTATGGTCGGTCGTGCCAGACACTGTTTATTACCTGGCGCAACTGTTCACTCTCTGTTCCCCCCATCCACTTTAATTGATTATCAGTTTTAAATTGTTTTTCTTCATTTTCTCCACTCCTCCTCTTCATTCCACTCCTCTCTTCTACCAGGGAACCATAGGCCTTCAACCAGGGCTTTTTTCACTGAAAGAAAATCAAGGTGTTCACACTGTTCCCCCATCCACCTTAAGTGATTATGAGTTTTAAATTGTTCTTCTTCATTTTCTCTCCTCCTCCTCTTCATTCCACTCCTCTCTTCTACCAGGGAACTAAAGGCCTTCAACCGGGGCTTTATCCCCTGAAAGAAAATCAAGGTGCGGCCACTGACCACATTGACATTTACCGCTGAGATCACAGGAGGTGGATCTCAGTGTGGCTTCCGGGGCCCTGTTATAGGGAAAACAAGAATAGACCCACTGCCTACCCAAAGTCCAATAGTGGACGAAAAAACAGAACTTTCCACCGGAGTTTATACCTGGTAAACGCGAAGAAGAAGAAGAAGAAGAAGAAGAAGAAGAAGAAGAAGAAGAAGAAGAAGAAGAAGAAGAAGAAGAAGAAGAAGAAGAAGAAGAAGAAGAAGAAGAAGAAGACAGGACGTGGAGATGTATGATCTTCAACGTCAGTCGGCAAAAGATTCGTTGATGATGATGACGACGCCGATGATGACAACGATGATGATGACGGTAGAAAGGTACACTTGTCCACACCTTCAGGCCTCAAATAGAACTAGCCCTATATGTTATACACCAGTCGGCACTCAGTGGGTAATGTGGTTAAAACCACACCGTCTGTTTTTACTTCACAGGGCTGTACCTAGTAACCAATTGAGGCTGGGATGACATGGGAGCCAAGGTCATTTAGAAAAGAAAAATGTATGGCTCTGTCGGGGCCTGAACCCGCGACCTTCGCATCCGCAGGCGAGCCACTAGTGGCTGCCATGATGATGATGATGATGATAATGGTGATGATATAATGGTGATGTTGATGGTGATGATGGTGGGGATGATGATGATGATGATGGTGATGATGGTGGTGATGATGATGATGGTGATGGTGATGATGATGTTGGTGATGATGATGATGGTGATGATGACGAGGATGATGATGATGATGATGATGATGGTGATGGTGATGAAGATGATGATGATTATGATGACAATGGTGATGATGATGATGCTGGTGATGATGATGAAGATGATGATGATAATGATGATGATGGTGGTGATGATGATGATGGTGATGATGACGACAATCATGGTGATGCTAGATATAATATGAGGGCAAAGAAGCCTAGAATATGAAAAGTTACACTTATGTTTGTCTTTACCACGGCATTAAAGTTTACCGTTGGTTATTTTCATCACAGGAGAGACTGACCACCAAGACGATGGAGCGTGTGCGGACGGTTTGGTCCGGATACACAGGGGATGCTACATGTTCGGGTTGTCCGCTTTAACCTGGGACAATGCCCTGGCAGATTGCAAGTCGCGACATGGCGAGTTACTTTCTATACAAAGTCAAAAGGAAAAGGTAGCTTGTGTGTATGTGTCTTGTTTTTAAGAGTGTCACATTGCTATATGCGGCGTGCAATTTTATCATGATATGGGGCGTCGCAGGTCGACCCAGCCTAAAATGGGTGCCAGGATGTATGTCCTGGAGAAGTAAAGACGGCCGGCGTAATGCTGACCACATTACCCACCTAGTGCAGATTGGTCTATAAAATATGGGTGCTCTTCTCATGTGTCTGATGCACCTAAGGAGAAGTGGTCTTTACTTTACATTGCTATTTGTTTATATTTATACAACGGATCAACACCATGGCACAATGTATACCCCATAAGTGCTCCGTTCTAACTCAAACCTGAGTCTGAAGTTTCTCAGCCCAGTGCACGAACTGTAGCTCAGGCGAGGATCCTGAAATTTTTCGGGTAGATTTTCAACTCTCAATTTTAGTCTACTCTTTTCGATTTTCTTACCTGATATGGCGTCCGATCTTACTACTTAGAAACCAGGGGCAATTTCTAGAAGTCCATGTGAAACAAATCCCAGCCATTACTGTCGCTGCGGTCAGAACGGGCCTTACTTAAAAAACGCGCCTCGTATACAGTACTTTTCAGTGTCTCTGATACTTCTGTGGCACATCTTCTACGTTGTCGACCTCTGGCTCTGTTACCATTGTATCTTAAACACACTGCTCTCTGTGGGGCCCTGTTTGATGACAGTCTTGTTACATGGTCGAACCATTTGATTTGTTGTCTAGCTATAAAGTTTAGTATTGGTTCTGTGCCGACTCTGCTCCTTATATCATTGTCCCTAAGTCGATCTTTCCACGTTACATCTAGCATAGTACGTAAACATTTCATTTCTATCGTGACTATTTTCCTTTTGTCTCCTGAAGACCTCCTCATAGCACAATATAACACTACCGTCCGGAAAGACTTGAAAAAATGTCAATAGAAGAGAACTAGAGAAAGACGCAGAAATAGAGTGGAGAGATTGCATGACAATGTAGTTGACTTGACACCCACAAGGGTAACAGAGGAAGTGAAACTGGAGGAGAAGAAGAAAGAGAGACGATGGCTAAGGAAGAAGATTAGGATAAGGAGATTAGCACATGTTATTGGAAGGAAGGATTTATTCTGGGTAAAGAGCAAATAAGTGGTAGGTACATCGTGGAAATCCGGAGAGAGATACACGCTAGATAAGACAGCTACAGTGTGCAATCTGTGTTGTTGCAGCAGATTTAGAACTGGAGGCCCGCACAGAAGATACAACTAGAACCTTGGGATTAGTCTGACTAATAATAAATACACCTCTAGTAGGGCGCTGAACATAAACACATAGACACATACAAACAGCTGCCGACCGACCGACCGACCGACCGACCGACCGACCGACCGACCGACCGACCGACCGACCGACCGACCGACCGACCGACCGACCGACCGACCGACCGACCGACCGACCGACCGACCGACCGACCGACCGACCGACCGACCGACCGACCGACCGACAGACAGACAGACAGACAGACAGACAGACAGATCACGGACACACTGACGGACGGACTTACAGACGGACAGACACAGACGTCTCGGAGGGACCGACACACAGAGGGACAGACTGACTGACTGATTGATAGATTTATTGATTCATTCACTGACATATTGATTGATTGATTGATTGATTGATTGATTGATTGATTGATTGATTGATTGATTGATTGATTGATTGATTGATTGATTGATTGATTGATTGATTGATAACACTAACTGTTTAACATGAACTCAATTTTTGCTGGAATTCCTCTTTTACTGAGTTAAAGTTGACAATTTTTGTGCTAACTGTGGACTCGTAAAAAAAAATGCATCCCTGCTTGGATTAATATGTTATTTTTCATGTTATCCAATATTGTTTTTCCCTAAGCGAGTTTATGTTAAGAAGATGTTACTGTATTTATATTTCCCAGGACGAAATTGAGCTCCACATTAACACAGCCAAGCTGACAGAGAAGCAATGGTGGGTGGCTTTGAAGAGAGAAGGCAGCGTCTGGAAGTGGCTTGATGGTGTCGAAATTAGTTCCCAAATCACGTGAGTTTGTGATTATTGTGTGTCACTTTTTTTTTAAATTAACTCTTTATAACCACATGTGTTCTAGAGTCCAAATCGGGGGGGGGGGGGGGGGGGGAGGGAGATGGAGGCGGGGGAGGGCGATGGGGTGGAGGCCGATAGGGAGGGGGTATGAAGGCAATACGCATTACTCCATCAACAAGCATATCGTAAGATGCCAATAATTAAGGTTTTGCGAAATCGGATATGTTAGATCGAAAGGCGTACATGCCGCAGCCTAGCTGTAAACCACAAGACAACTTGATAACTGTTCATTCAAGGGTGAAGGCATAATAATAATATTTAAAAAAGTAAAGTTAAGATCCCCTTTAATGCCTTTAGGCGCATCAGGCAAATGGAAAGAGCACCCATATTTTTACAGCCCAATCGGCACTAGGTGGTAATGTGGTCAGCATTTCGCCGGCCGTTTTGAATTCCCACAGGACATACATCCTGTTACCTATTTTAGGTTGGGCGGACCTGCGACACCCCGTACAATGATAAAATCCACGCAGCCAGCAGTGGGTTTTGATCGCTGTACTTTAGAATTACGAGTCGGACTAGCAACGCCCCAGCCATGGACGCCGCACAATAATAATAATAATAATAATAATAATAATAATAAAAAGGAGAAGAAGAAGAGGAAGAAGAAAAAGAAGAAGAAGGAGAAGAAGAAGAAGAAGAAGAAGAAGAAGAAGAAGAAGAAGAAGAAGAAGAAGAAGAAGAAGAAGAAGAAGAAGAAGAAGAAGAAGAAGAAGAAGAAGAAGAAGAAGAAGAAGAAGAAGAAGAAGAAGAAGAAGAAGAAGAAGAAAAAGAAAGCATTGAGAAGCAGAAGGAAACATATTATTTATGTATTATGTTCTCTGAATCTCAGCTGCAGGTGATTCGGCAACAAACAGGTTTGCGTTGAACGGTATCTGTGTCGACTATGTGCAGATCAGTGTTTAAAAGTGTGTGTGTTGTCCTTTCTCTCTTTCTCTCTCTCTCTCTCTCTCTCTCTCTCTCTCTCTCTCTCTCTCTCTCTCTCTCTCTCTCCCCTCCCCCTCATTCTCTGGCTTCTCGAAATCTAACTGATAACCAGTATTGTTTTCACATGCATTCCTAGTCCTTGGATCAGCCAGCTCCAGAAAAATAAGAGAAAAAACAGTTGTGGCATTATTGACATGACGACCGGAGCACTCAAAATCTCCAATGATCGGTGTGAATCCGAGCTGCAGTACATATGTGAATTTCATAGAAGTAAGTATCTAAATTTGCACATCTCTTGTTGATATCATGTACGTTTTTTTAGAAGTAAGTCGGCATCTGTGGCTTAGAACGTACTTTTTAATGCCAGGGTGCACTTGAGCCCTGCGATGGTCATCAGTGGTATCAAGAAGCCGACCACCCAGGAAGCAATAGCAAACTAACGGACGTAAATCTGCTTAGAAAAACCACAACAGCCCAAAAATGCTGGGGTTGGTTCTGCGATCTCCTGTAAAGGATACGCAATTAACTTTTATAAGTAAGTAAAGTATCTTGATTGTGATATCTGTTGCCTGGAGGCAACTGAGATGTTGTTCTTGTGCCCCGGTGATCCTCATCTGAAAGGTGGCACCTTTGTGTTAGTCCCTCTTTTTATTGTCCTGGTGGGGTTGATTAGCAAACAAACAATGGTTATGCCAAACAACAGGGGAAATAAAATGCATTCCTGTTTCATCCAGTTTAAACTGCAAACCAATCACTTAAACTATCACCTGTTGGCACTGAACACTCTGAACCTTTATAAATTGTGTGTGAAATATTGATTGTTTTCTAGAACTTTACCTGGTCCCTGCTTTTTGCCGGATCGACAAGGGAGGTCACTTCTGAAAAATTCCAAATCTGTGCGGTTTCGCGAAAGAAAAAAAATACATTTTAAACAGATTATAAAAAAATAAAGGTAAAGGTACGAAGAATAATGTTCACGCCAGTGACGCACTAAGTCGTATATTTGTAGACTAATCAGCAACCAGTGAGCCATATGTCAACATTACGACGACCGCCTTTACTTTCCAGGACATTTCTTAATACACTTTTAGACTGGGTCGAAACCCATCCATCCATCATGTAGCAGGTCCTTTGCAGAACGTCGCTGTCATCACGGTCTGCCTTAAAGAAACTCGGTCTCTCGCCAGCTCTCCCGCCTTGTGTACTTTCATATTTAAGGAGTCGCTGGTTCTTTTCATGTTTCTCGGTCCATCTATACACGGGCTGACCTTTCATTCATACTTTCTTAGACTATTCTACCTCAGAGAGCTGTCAAGGTATCTTGCCTCCAATTACATCAGCGCCGATGTCGCATGTTCTATACTACACGACGACACAGCCTTTAACGACCCCTCAGACTGGCCCTAACCTAACACCACCACCAACCCCCCCCCCCCCACCCCCTTCACTCACAGCCTGAGCCTAGGTCCCACGAGAGACTCTTTTCGAAGAAAACACTACAAAGAGTCACTCTGACCTAGACCAGACTGAGAAAGTCTGTAGGTGAGCCGGGAAATGTGAAAAGGACCGAGTGACTTATATTCTGTGCCCATCTTCGTGTTAGTTAGTCCCTGCCCCTTTTCCGAGTACCATGCCTTCTGTTTTTTTCCCCAATCCGTCATGGCCCTTGATGTGACCAAAATATTTCAGCTCCCAGGGTCGACATAAGAGTTCAATTTCATTTATGAAAACTTGCCCCGAAGTCCATTTGAACCGCTGACCTTCAGGCCAATAAGCCAGCCTCAAGCTACTGTGCTTCATCGGATACCTGCTTATTATTGAGATAATTTAATCCATTCTCAAGTGCGGCTCTGAAAGCAAGAGGTTGTCCTTGGAGAGGAGGGATTGATGACGTAAAGTGCATTTTACATCTACACGGGAAGACAGTAACAGTTACTACTCATCAAGTGATGGATCACAAATTGTTCCTCCCCACGCCGTTCGTGGTCAGAAGTAATAAAAAGTGATGATGGTGAGAAGGATGACCTCAAAAAGAGTATAGGACTCGTTACATGAATGAACGAAGAAGTGTCATCCCTGCACTCGTGTCATACCTAGACTTGCTCCGTCTTCTTCCTCGGCAGCCAATGAAAAGTCAGTATACTTAGAGTAGCAGTTGTAACCTCATTGTAAGTTCGCTTTTGTGTTCCCCTCAGTGTTGAATATCTTCCATACCCTCTGCTCCAACCCATCACCATTTTTTCTATTGAATTAGTCTGTCATCGACAACTTCATATCATTGAAACATTGGGGTTTATGATGACTATATTTTCTGTAGATTAATCCGCATGAGTGAGATTGTAAACATTGATCATTTATAAAAATCTTCCCCAATATCAAGTTAAAAGGCTACCAAAACCGGGGCAAGACGTTTACTATTTTATGGACAGACCAGAGCAAGTTACAATTCTACTTCTTAGAACAGGACACAGTCGACTTCGCAGCCACATGTACACAAGATTTAAAATCGTCGAATCAGCCATGTGCACATGTGGACTGCCACCTGAGACAACAGATCATGTCATCCAAGACTGTCCCAAATACAACGTTAGTTAGTTAGTTAGTTAGTTAGTTAGTTAGTTAGTTAGTTAGTTAGTTAGTTAGTTAGTTAGTTAGTTAGTTAGTTAGTTAGTCTTTCCTCGTGTGTCGAGTGCGGCACATAGGGCAGAGGTCATGACTCTCCATGCATGGCGGTTCGTTGCAATCCGTTGTAGGTCTTGGATGTTTGAGTGGCCCATGAGCGAGCCTTCCCTGATGATAGTTCTATGTAGGGTTTCCCTTGGTCTTCCACGAGATCTTTTCCTCTGTGGTGTCCAAATGAGGGCTTGGTAAGGAAGTCTTGATTTATATATTCTAAGGGCATTCTAAATACAACATATCAAGGCAACAAATTTGGCCAAGAAAAACATCGGTGCAAGTCACACTTAACGGGTCACTGACTGAATTACAAAAGACAGTCATGTTTATACTAGAGACAACATTGCAGATATAGAAAACCTAATTCAAGCGAACGAAAGAAGAAGATAAGTCAAAACGAAGACCTTTAGGTTCGGTAAACAAATGTCGCGCTAAAGGAGCTCTCAGGTTATATCAATAATACTTTAATAACACATTTTAAAATGAATGATTTTTATCCTCAAACAGTCACAAAGACACCCGCTATCAGCAACAGCACACCTGTTACCCCAAGTCGTGGGGCCACTATTTTCGATGATTCCTTAGACACGGGTGTTGGCGATTTCCACCCCGAGGGCGGCGATATAGTGGGAGTACAGAAGGCACCTGGACAGAAATCAAGTGTCACCGGTGGCTTATTCAGCAGTATGATGGCGGTGTTGTCTAACAAAGATGCCCATACCTCACCTCGTATGGAACCTGGTAAAGATAGACAAGCCATTGCAAAAACATCTACGACAGCTGGTCATCCTCAGACTGTCACGCAATCGAGCAGTGGCAACGAGCATCTCCAGGAAACAAATGGGCGTGGGAAGATATCGTTTTCAGACAAGATCACAAGTTCTTCAACCACTACGACGGAGAATTATACCTCTTCTAAAACAGAAACACAATCAGTGTCTACAGAAAACCCGCTAGTTTCCAGATCAGAGACGTCTTCAGCGTCGAAATCAGAAATATCGTCTGCATCTACAACAGAAAAATCTGAATGGCCATCAGAAGCACATGAAGCCAGCACATCTGTACAAAGGAGCATGTCCATCGCTGACGACAGTACAATCTTAAACAGGTACGATATTATAGCTGATTGATATTTAACACCTGTCTAATCTACAAGCTATGAGCTCATGTGGTTTCCTAACTCCCTGTCTTAATTCTGCTCAACTTTTCCAGCGGAAATATCTCTTACTATTTTTGCTGTCCATGTCTTTTCTACGTAGGTTCCAGTGAGTAAGTTTGGGAAGTGGGGGGGGGGGGGGGGGGGGGGATAACTCGCTGTTCCTTTAAAAAAAATTTTTGTTGTAAACTGAGAATGATTAAGGGTTTGCTGAAGTCGGATGTGTTAGTCCGTAAGGTGCAGCTATTGCAGCCTAACTGTCAATTATAAATCAACGTGCCAGCTGCTTTAAATTTTAAGGACTAACACAGAAGAAGAAGAAGAAGAAGAAGAAGAAGAAGAAGAAGAAAAAGAAGAAGAAGAAGAAGAAGAAGAAGAAGAAGAAGAGAAGCGGAGGAGGAGACTGGGATGAGAATAGGAAAGAAAGAAGAGGAGAAAGAAGAGAAAAAGACAAGGAAACAGAAGGAGAAGAAGATGGATGAGAAGTAAGAGAAGAAGTAAGAGGAGAATGAGGAGAAGGAAGAGGAGGAGAAGGAAGTGGAAAGGAAGGGGAAAGAAAAGAGAAGAGAGAAGGTGCAAAAGGAGAAGGATGAGAAGGAAGAGGGGAAGGAAGAGAAGAAAGAAGATGAGGAAGAAGATGAGGAAGAGAAGAAGGTGGAACAGGAGATGGAAGAAAAGGGGGAGTAGAAAAAGGGGGAGGAGAAAGAGGAGGAGAAATAAAAGGCAAAAGAATAGGAGAAGGAAGAGAAGGAGGATGCGAAAGAGGAGAAGAGAGAATACGAGATGAAAGATGAAGAGAAAGAAGATAAGAAGAAGGAGGACGAGAAAGAGGCTGAGAAAAGCTATGTGAGAATGTGATCTGTTCGTTGTAATTTTAGACCTTCAATTGGCCGTGTGACCTAAAGTCATGTGTATTAGCTGTTGTATGATGTGCTAGATAGTTTTACACATTAAATGCCTAAACCTTTGCCATAATCAACTTCATTTTAATAGACTAATCGACCTTCGATATTCTCCAGGACATTTTTCTGTAACCAACCTAAGCTATGTGCTTGGGAAATGTTTTGGGAAGTAAAGACGGTCGAGATTATATTGACCTTATCGCTCAACTAGTACCGATTGTAATATTTAATAAAATATAGGATCACTGCAAAGGGTCGCTGGGATGTTAAATTGTTATTATAAAAGAAGTATGTAGTGGATGTACACGAGTGGCGTCTTAAATTGTCCAGAAAATTTTCAGATTTCGTGTGACCTTGTATAACAGTAGCTTAAAAGGCGTTGAACAGATAAGAAGCCGCCAAAAGCTTAAAGAGTAGGTCGCTGGAGCAATTCAAGAGCCACCAAAAGCTTAAAGAGTGGGTCGCTGGAGCGATTCAAGAGACGTGACAGGAGATTGAATACCGTCTAGACATCATCGGATCTACAAATGGCGCCCATATCCCCTGTCCTCTGGATCAGTTCCACTGATGATTTCCCTCCGTGCCACAGTCGTAGTCCACTCGTCAACTTCTCTGGGTCTGCCTCTCTCTCTTCTACCATTCCAGTCGTCACAATATTCTCCAAAGCCTTCCCCTCATCACATGACCAAAAGACATTGCTTGTCTTTTCATAATAGCTGTATGTATTGATCTGTTTTCATTAGCTTCCTTCAAGCAATCCTAGTTAGTTACTCTGGCAGTCGAATGGATTCTTCACATACGTCTGAAAAACCACATCTCTGTCACCTCCAAGTTCTTTCTAATCTGTGCCACTCGTATGTATCCATTAAATACTTCTTTTATAACAGTTTAAAGTTCCGACAAACATTCTCGATTATTTTGTATTGTTTTAGCAAAATATATCTTATACGTTTCATAGCATGGAGATGCATCCTTCACTAAATGTTTACCTTCCTATCACCTTGACATTTCTTCACAGGTCCGAATCAATAACATCAACAGATCCAACAATAGCATCTTCAACCAACCCCTCTAGAATTCAACCAGACACTCCCGAGCCTACCATGGTGGACTGGGCTCAAGCATACAGTGATTTGGGAGACTGCTACATCCCAGGCACAGGCGGAAGCCTCAGCGCTGCTGTCATGACGGCTAGAAAGTTGTACTACGAGGGTCGAACTTCATGTCCGAAAGTTGAGATAGGAGGCATCGAGTGGCCAAATGTGACAGCTGGAGATACTGCAAGAATGAGATGTGCTAAACATGAAGGTAATTGTTGGATTTATAAGTACTTTTTACAACTCTGCAGCACCAGCGCGAATCCTAAAACACTTTTGGTAGATTTTTAACTCCATATTTTTGGCCGGCCAGCGCCGTTAGGCTACTCTTTGATTTCCGACTGCCAATGGATTTTTTACATGCGCAGCAATGCACACAGGCTTTCGATCTCACTACCCAGAGACCAGGGGGAATTACTAGAAGTCCCAAGTCCACGTGAGGCTTACACCATGCGTCGAAACCACCCAGCCCTCTTTAAAAAAAAAATCTTTCCCCAAACGGGGAATCGAACACCGGCCGCCGCTGTGAAAGCGCGGAATCCTCGCCACTAGACCACTTGGGATGATAAAAACACACATAATTATTTAGAATTTGAAATATGTTAATCTTTTTTAGTTCATTTATCTAAGCGGAGATAAGTTGTATTGGCATTGTGTATATCTTACACCGAAATTATAGACCGATAATAACACAGTTGACAGATAAAAGGTGGAATAGAGATCATCTTGAAAGCAGTTAATTCAGAAAGAGAAAGTAGCTATTTCAAATGTGCCCCCCCCCCTCCCCCAACCCCTTTCCTCCTTTTCTCCCCACTTTAAGAAGAAGAAGAAAAACTTGTTTTAATGACTCGTTTTCATGTGCACCCTCTACAAAGGCCTGTATTTGATGTTTTTCTTCATTAAATACGCCCTATTCGTCTGTGTATCGACATCTCCTTGATGCCAATTCCACGGTCAGATCGCTTGCTCATAGTTCAAGTGTTTTGACCATAACTTAGAGCTGAGTATGCGTAACATTTGAATAATAAAAGTATTAAAAGTATACCAGCTCGTTTTTACTAGTAATTGATTCAAAACACCACAGACATTCCTTTTCTTCTGTGCTCATCGAATGTAAGCTCAAATGGAAAGTCCTGTCGGTAAATCCATGACTTGAGTGTAGCATACACAGCCGTTTTCCATTATTGCGTCCAAACTGTTGTTTCCTTGCCTCCCAGGCAGACGAGTTCCGACTTCGAAGGACACTTCGATCCTACTTAATTGGTCAGGTTCCGGTTGGGAACCCATCTCTGGAGTAACCACGCAGAGGTGTAGCTATGTCTTGGCCAGATGGAGCCATGGTTGTGTTGCATCAGTGTTGGTGGTGACGCCTTTCTCATACCAAACTGGAAGCCACAATGGCGCATAAGTTAACATGCTTACCTGCCGGCTCAGTGTTCATGTGATCGAATCCTCACCGACTGATCAACTGACCTAGCCTCCTACGTGGAGCGAGGCTATAAATGAGTAGCAGGAAATATTTGGATAGGATGCACATTCAGAAAACCAGAGAACAATATTACTAGAATGTCTTTGCATTGGAACCCACCGGGGCATATGAATAAAGGAAGGCCAAAATAAAAAAAAAAACAGGGAGAAGGGAGCTGAAAAATGAATTTAGAAAGGTGGAGAGGACATGGGGAGAGTTGCATACGATAGCAAGGGATAGAACGACTTGGTGTGAGTTGGTTGGGGGCCTATGCTCCATTGGGAGCTATAAAGGCAGAAGAGAGAAGACATATTTTGTGAAATAAAGGCCGCCAGTGTAACATTGACTGCATCATTCACCGAGTGCCGATTGATGTAGACTATATAGCTATAACACTATATGCCCAGTACGCACGCAGGTGGTGAAGGGGGTCCTTTTACGTGGAGGTGTAGATATGTCTAGACCAACAGAGCCCGGGTACATAATTGCAGGTGGTGTGATGCCTTTCACAAACCAAAGTTGAGGCTACAATGATACATTAGCTAGCATGCTTACCTGCTGGCTCCGTTACCACATGTTCGAATCCTCCCGACGGGAACTTTCATAATGAACCTGGCCTCCTAGGTGAACCAAGTTTAAAACTGAGCAGAAGGAAATGTTCTGGGAAGTAAAAGCAGTCCCTGCATCGTTCATCGATTGCACTGATCTATATAAATATGGACAACATAAATACCCAAAAGCACATTAAAGATAATAATTACATTGTTTTTAAATATTTATCAGGTATCGCAACGTTTCATTGTGGGAGCAATCCAGTGTGTTGGAGGGGTCGACCTGTTACGTCAGGCTGTGCCTCTGAACAGCTGCAAGATGTTTTTAAAAAGGTATGTTTGTGATGTTTTCTTCTTCTTCTTCTTAACCTTCTTCTTATTCTGCCTTCTATCTCCCAGTGGAGCATAGGCTCTCAAACAACTCACGCCAAGTCATTCTATTCTTAGATATTGCATGCAGCTCCCTCCGTGTCCTCCTTATCTTTTTACCTTTACGCTGTAGCTCCCTTCTCCGTTTCTCTTTTCTGTCTGCCTTTATCTCTATGTCCCTGTGGTGTTTACAGTGCAAAGACGCTGTAGTTATACTGTTCTCAGGTTTTCTCAATGTGTGTCCTATCCAACGCCAGCGTCTTTTCTTCACCTCTTGGTCCGTCATCGTGTTACATGCCGCTAGGCGTAGGTGTGTCACGGTTCGATTTCTCACGCGGCCATCAGAGTTTGGATTTGAGTCCGTGGACTTGTTCCACGATCCTTTTCGTTCTTATCCACGTTCACCGGCTGTAAACTCCGACGGAAAGCTCTGTCTGTTCGCCAACTTCTGGACTTTAGTCTTGTTCAGGATTTGAATTTTGCGTGCACATCAGTTTTACAGATCTGGCTTGTTTGTATGCGGACTGTTGGTTCCTCGTCTCTCCGACATCGAAGAAAAAACTCTTAATAATTAGTCACCTTGTACGACAAGCTTGTTTGGGTATGTGTGTGGGGGGTGGGGAAGGAGGGGGGGGGGGTATAATATTTTTTGATATTTTAAGATGCAGGTTTATAACCATATCCGTTTGATCTAAACAGCGCTAGTTCTTGTTTGTGTCTTTATTTTTGTCGTTATCCCTCACCAGTCAGTCAGTAGCATATCCTTTGCAGAGCCTTGCTCCCATAAAACCCCAACTGAAAACTTCTTGATCACAAGCAAGATGTCCCGCATTCGATACACCCATCTGGAGACCATTTGCCACATCCTGCACCCATCTTCTCTTTGGCCTTCCTCTTCCTCTCTTCCCAGGCATATAAGGTTAGTTGCGTATCCTTTACAGGATGTTGCAGAACTAACCCTAACAGCCCTTGGCTGTTGTGTGGTTTTTCTGGGCAGACTTACGTCCATTAGTTTGCCATTGCTTACTGGACGGTCGGTTTTCTTGATACCACTGTCAAAACCATTGCAAGGCGCATGGCCCGCAGCTGGGATCGAACCCGGCATCCCGGCATTACGAAGCGTTCGCATCGACTTAGCCACAGAGCCGACTCCCAGGAAAATACCCCTCCATTATTGTTCTCTTTAAACTTGATGATGCCTCACCAGGATTGCAAACTGAAGATCTGACACCCAGTGGTTCAGTTAGATACTTTTCTGAAGCGAATCCAATAGGAGCGAATCCCAGATGATTATTACAATACGAAACAACATTGGCTGCATTAACATGTTTAAAATTGAGAGGATTGTCTTCACGGCACTGTGTTTCATACTATAGGACTCAGTCTTTCTCTACAGAACGTCTAACCTCTTTCCTGCAATTATGTACCAGGGCTCTGTTGGTCTAGACATATCTACACCTCCACGTAAAAGGACCCCCTTCAACACCTGCGTGCGTACTGGGCATATAGTGTTATAGCTATATTGTCTACATCAAGCGGCACTCGATTGATGATGCAGTCAATGTTACACTGGCGGCCTTTATTTCACACAGCATGCCCTCTCTCTCTTCTGCCTCTCTAGCCCCCAATGGAGCATAGGCTCTCAGCCAACTCACACCAAGTCGTTCTATCCTTTGCTATCGTAGGCATACAAAGCACTAATTCTAGTGACTATTACCACGGATCTCAGTAAAAAAAAAAAAAATCAAGAATTTGCCCTATATGGACATTAGAGATATCATCAGTGTCATACTAAACTCTGTGAGGCTTTCAGTTTCGTGGAAAATGATTTTTCACTGAATAGACTGCATACCCTGGGTGTACAAATTAATTGGGGCCGTGAGACAGGAAAACCAGCACCCGTCGTTGGTCGTTACATCAACCAGAAGAGAAGGGAAGTTGTTAGCCTAAAAATACTAGGAGACACACCCTGGATAATATCGGAGCACTTAAGGTTTTGTCTGAAGTGCGATGAAGACGATCTCTTAAATAAACAAGGAACAAGAACAATCAGTGAAACCCGCACCGATAAATCCAAGGATACAGTCTATGAAACGAAGCAAGCGCGTTAATTACTTTGTTATAGAGATCTTCCCTCGGCTGCAGAAAATCATTAATTGTCCTGTGTGAATTATTATTATTATTTTATTTTTTTTAGTATCCAGAAGCCACGAGTTGTTAACCCTTAGGCTCGGTATTATGGATATCGCAACCCTTCGGCTTTGATTCCATTGTAAATACCGATACCGTAAATATGGGAGAAATATGGCTTTTCTGCCTACCCCTGGGCGTGAACTCGGACCACAAGGAGTTCGTCACCCGGTCACCGCGCAATCCGGTTTAGCCAACTACGCTAGCGAGCCGGGCGTCCTGTGTGAATAAGGGAATAAATTCCTTGTCTGCCTTGTTAGAATTTATATCCAGGAATCATGGCATTGACCATTCTAATTCCATCTACCCGGGTCTAAACTTCACCTGTAAACGTCCGTACTCTTCAGGTGGAGATCCTCAGCTTACATGGAAGCGTGACGCCCATGTCAGTGAACGAAACACTGCAGGTGTCTTCCAACCTGGTGGAGGCGGTTGAAACTGGGGCCACGACGATGGAAGATGTCGTTCTGACAGCTGACGTCATCACAGCCTTGAGCAAGATGAAGGCCACTGATGAATCTTTAGGAAAGACAAGAGCTGTGATGCTGATGGATGTAAGTTCTTTTTTTCTTTTTGTCTGCCTTACCTTGGTTCGTCATGTCTTGTTCTGGTTTGTCAAGTCTTGTTCTGGTTTGTCGTGTCTTGTTCTGGTTTGTAGTATCTGATCTTGTCTTGTCAATTCACTGTCCAGCCAACAGAACTGTTTTGTGCAGTGAATTTTATGCACTTACTGATATCCGGAGACACGTTAGGGCGGAATCAATGCCAGGGTACATCAAGGCAACAGATCAAATGATTCAGATGTGTGTCAAAACTGCCACAATATAATGCACCCCACAAAGCCCTGTCACTTAAACGCAGTGGAAGTAGAGATGGAGGTCGCCCACATTAGCGATGGATAGACCAAATATCGGAGGCGGTGAATACCAGCATTTAGGTAGCAAGCATCAGCTTTTGGGGAGTCAAACTTGACGTTAAATGGACTAGAGAAAACACAAAAATTCATACATTTTATCGAAGTGTTATGGAAGGGGGGGGGGGAGGTATCTATCTATCTATCTATCTATCTATCTATCTATCTATCTATCTATCTATCTATCTATCTATCTATCTATCTATCTATCTATCTATCTATCTATCTATCTATCTATCTATCTATCTATCTATCTATCTATCTATCTATCTATCTATCTATCTATCTATCTATCTATCTATCTATCTATCTATCTATCTATCTATCTATCTATCTATCTATCTATCTATCTATCTATCTATCTATCTATCTATCTATCTATCTATCTATCTATCTATCTATCTATCTATCTATCTATCTATCTATCTATCTATCTATCTATCTATCTATCTATCTATCTATCTATCTATCTATCTATCTATCTATCTATCTATCTATCTATCTATCTATCTATCTATCTATCTATCTATCTATCTATCTATCTATCTATCTATCTATCTATCTATCTGTCCTATCTGTCTGTCTATTTTGTCTATCTGTCTGTCTGTCTGTCTGTCTGTCTGTCTGTCTGTCTGTCTGTCTGTCTGTCTGTCTGTCTGTCTGTCTGTCTGTCTGTCTGTCTGTCTGTCTGTCTGTCTGTCTGTGTGTCTGTCTGTCTGTCTGTGTGTCTGTCTGTCTGTCTGTCTGTCTGTCTGTCTGTCTGTCTGTCTGTCTGTCTGTCTGTCTGTCTGTCTGTCTGTCTGTCTGTCTGTCTGTCTGTCTGTCTGTCTGTCTGTCTGTCTGTCTGTCTGTCTGTCTGTCTGTCTGTCCGTCTGTTAGTCTGTCCGTCTGTCCGTCTGTCCGTCTGTCCGTCCGTCCGTCCGTCTGCCCGTCTGTCTGTCTACCTATTTTTCTATCTACATATCTGAGAGCCGCTGTGGTATTGCGACTAGACGCTCACCTGCAGATTGGAAGGTCTTGGGTTCCAGTCCTTCCGGAGCCGAACCTTTTTTTTCAAAATTGATCTTGGCTTTCAGATCGACGCAACCTAGAGTTGGTACAGGATACAGTTCTGGGAAGTAAAGACGATTAGTGTGACGCTTACCAAATCACCCATCGAGTGCTATACAAAATACATCTAGCCTTATATGCTCAATACGCATGAAAGCGTGGAAAACAGTTCTTTCGCATGTTATCCGTCTGTCTCGATATCTATCAATGCACGCATTCACACATGAGTACATATATTCGCCCATCTATCTGCTTACATGTCTGACTGTCTACCTGTCTGTTCACCTTCCTGACTATCTTCCTGCAAGTCTGCCCCTGTCTGTCCCCTGCTCTGTTTGTAGCTTGGCTGTCTATCTGTATATCTAACTACCTGCCTACCTATCTATATATCTTAATTTCTCACAGAACTTGGTAAAAACTGGCAGTATCCTGGTTTCCAAAAACAAGTCCAGAATGTGGGAAGCAATGTCGAGGGACGATAAGGCCCAGTCTGCATCGCTGCTTCTTGTTGCTCTCGAGACAGCTGTGGTTTCTATCGCAGAGGGTTTCAATGAGCCGGCAGTGATAACCAAGAAGGATGCAAACATAGGTGAGCTAACGTTAACTGTTTACACCTGGGACATTTCTTTGATCTTAAACATTATCAGTCCAAGAAAGACCTGTAGTTGATAATCAAAGAGAAGTGGGGATACATTTATCTTCGTCTTTATCACCACCTTCTCCTCGTCCTTCCCCCCTTTCATTCCCCCTTCTTCTTCTTCTTCTTCTTCTTCTTCTTCTTCTTCTTCTTCTTCTTCTTCTTCTTCTTCTTCTTCTTCTTCTTCTTCTTCTTCTTCTTCTTCTCTACGTAGAAAGTTTGGGGTGCAACACATGCCGTAAAATGTTCCATACAGATTGGTATTAGAATGACCACTAGCTAGAACTGTGATCTCAGTTAGTCGACAGCCTATCCTCATTGCACCTCGAACCACTCAGTCCATAAGTGCTCGGATCCCCTCCTCAGTAAATCCTGCAGTGTGTAGCGGCATTCGACACCAGTTCTATTTTGGTTTATTATTATTCTTTGGCTACCCGCGTAGTGTTCTTGTTTGGCCACACCCCGTTTAACGTGCTGTTCTTGCAATCTGACCATGGTTGCAGATTCACAGTTCTCATTTGGTTCACGCAAACGTCTTAACTCTCTTAGAGCATTCAGTATATTCAGCCTGGTCTATGGCTTGTCCGGCTTTCACAGTAGCCTTACCTGCAAGCCTATCAGCTTACTCATTTCCTTATACCCCCACATATCCTGGCACCAAAATGAAACTAATCCTTGTCAGCCGTGAATTCTGTAGAGCCACTAACTACTGCCTTCGGACCCAGCTCTTCTTTATCTTCCTGAGCATACTCATCGAGTCACTAAGAAAGCATGCTCCAGTAAAAGTCTGTGTCTCTAGCCATGTTACTGCTTTATTCATAGCCATGACATTCACAGTCAGAATACTTGCAGCCAAACCTAGGATTCTCTACTGCATGTATGTCTGTAGCAGATGTTTAATTTTCCCGTCCACCTGGACAAAGTTCTAAATCCCCGGTCTTAAATTTCCCATGCGAATCTTAGCAGCGCCCCCTAACATGTTGATTGTAAACACTCCTCAGAGATGGAACTTCGTGTGGTTGATGTGGAAGAGCTGGACGGTCAACTTGTCTACGGCTCAGAGCAGTCTGACAACACTTTCTCTATCCCAGTGGAAACTCTAAGGCACTTTAGAAAAGGTCAGTACGTCGTAGATAAGTGTGGTAACATAAATTTTGGAAACTTAATATCTAAAATATTTCATTATTAAACAAATTATCAACTCACGAAGTATAGAGTTCTAACAACTTCAGTAGGTCGTGACAACGGGAACGCTGGAGGAGGGAAAAAAATCAAGGGTAGATCTCCGCCCTCTCCAGATAAATAGAGTCGGCCGTGGGTAGATCAAGAAATTTGATGTTGGAAATTTTGAAATTATAAATGAATGACGCATCATTGGGCATACTGAAAGAGAAGTAAAAACTGTACACACCAGGGAAATGATGGTCGTAGACCACGAGGCAGACCATGGAGAGACGATGGAGAGATAATATCCAGACAGACCTACAAACACTTGGTGTTACCAGCTGGAAAGAGAAGGCTAACCAGAGAGATGAATGGAGGCGGGTGATATCTGCATCAATGAACCTCGAGGGCTCGGAATGCTGAAGAAGATGAAGAATAAAAGAATGACTGTATAGGAAAAGATTTTACCCGTTTGGGTTCCGGGGCACTATTTTGGGGTAAGAAAGAACAGATTTACAGCATACTTACAAGCATGTCATAAAAGCCATAATTAAAAGTCTTTCCTTCGAAGTCGGAGTGCGTCTGCCTGAGAGTCGAGGAGCCAAGTCTTCATACAGGTAAGCCAGATTTGACAAACGGATGCGCACACCAAAACTCAAGTCCTGGAACAAAATCAAAATCCAGAGGTAGATGAACAACCAAAAACTTTTCACCGTAGTTTACTATCAGTGACGCTAAGAAGATGAAGAAGAAGAAGAAGAAGAAGAAGAAGAAGAAGAAGAAGAAGAAGAAGAAGAAGAAGAAGAAGAAGAAGAAGAAGAAGAAGAAGAAGAAGAAGAAGAAAACAATAATTATAATAATAATAATAAAAATAATAATAATAATAATAATAATAATAATAATAATAATAATAATAATAATAATAATAAGAAGAAGAAGAAGAAGAAGAAGAAGAAGAAGAAGAAGAAGAAGAAGAAGAAGAAGAAGAAGAAGAAGAAGAAGAAGAAGAAGAAGAAGAAGAAGAAGAAGAAGAAGAAGAAGAAGAAGAAGAAGAAAATGAAGAAGAAGAAGAAGAAGAAGAAGAAAACAATAATTATAATAATAATAATAAAAATAATAATAATAATAATAATAATAATAATAATATAATAATAATAATAATAAGAAGAAGAAGAAGAAGAAGAAGAAGAAGAAGAAGAAGAAGAAGAAGAAGAAGAAGAAGAAGAAGAAGAAGAAGAAGAAGAAGAAGAGATTTGCAGTAAACAAGACAAAAAGCTGTTGACTGACATCACAACAATTCCACACGACATGGATTTTGAGAATACCTAACTAGAATACCTGTTTGTGTAACCGTAAGTAGGATCCTTCTCCACACCTTTAGGCTTATTGGGCATATAGGGCTAAACCTATATTTTATAGTCAAACTGACACTAGGCCGATGATTAGGGGTCAACAGGCAGCCTTTACTTCCTAGGACTTTACCTGGTATCTGTATAAAGTTGGGTCGACTTTGGAGCCAAGGTCATTTTTGAAAACAACTTCCGGTCTGTTTGGATTTAAACCCAGACCCCCGGATCCGCTACACCAGCTGTTAGTAGAGCCTTTCTAAATATACATTTTTTAGTCAGAGGGAAAAAAATAATATGGCCTTTAATTTACGATTGCACCTCATAATATATTAGACATACAAACTATACGTTTATATCTCCCTGGATTGTCTGGTTTTTTTGCAGGGAAACTAGTGAAAGCTGTGTTTATTACACACTTCTCTATGTCTCATCTTTGGAATGGTCGTACAAAAAAACCAAGAATATCAAGACAGCCCGACTCCCAAAAGCTCACTGACAGCAACAATGTAAAAACAGCAGCAGACCAAAAAGAGGGCAGCACTGAAAAGACTACAGAACGCGAAATCGTCAGCCACATTTTAAGTGCCTCCCTGGGCAAGGATAAACACAGAGGTTTGAAGTTACCCAAGCCAGTTGTGTTCACGATGAGGCATCTTGAGGTGAGTATTGTTGCAGTGTGTCATTTGGGAGCCATCGTGGTATAGCTGCTAGATTCTCGACTGCGGACCTGAAGGTCTTGGATTCAAATCCAGAGAAAGCGGGATTTCTTTTTTTTTTTTTTTAACCTGGCTCCCAAGTCGATTCATCCTTAAACCAGATACAGGTATAGTCTTGGGAAGTAAAGGCGGTTGGTGTGATGTTGACCACATCACACACCAAGGGCCAATTAGTCTATAAAATGTTGGTCAAGCTCTATAGGCCCAGAATAAAGGCGTCTAAAAGGGTTCTCGATATGTTAAATGAAGGTTGTTTATAACAGATCTTCGTAATGTTGTTGTTTGTGTTGTCATTGTTGCTGCAGCTACTGTTGTTATTTTTGTTGTTCCCAGATCCCTTTTCTTAAATTCGGTGCCGTGGTGTTAGTAGTTACACTTATCCACTGACTTCTGTATCAGGTACTGTCAATCATTTCTTTCACAGATGTACTTTCATAATATTATACCTAACTGTGTGGAATCTTTTCTCATACTTTATTGATAAAACACAGCTGCAGTGTGAAACTTGAGTTTTTGGAAAGGCCGAATGTAAGGCGAGCCTGTGAGCCGTATTTGCTACCATTTGGGAAATGTATTCCTTTGTTGTAAATCTGCCTCTACTTATTCTCACTTCCAACCTTGCAGCTGTTGCTAAGTTTGTCCCCTTTGTGAGTTAATTTCTTTCAAAGACATTTCCATTATCATTATCATCTACTCAGGGTGTTCTCATCACTTCCCCCATTAAAACCACGTCTCTACAACTCGAATATATTTTCTCACCAATCGGCTGACTCTTTATGTTGAATTTCCGTTTGTCGCCAACTCCAACACATATACATGTTTGCTGTTGATTGCATTATTAATTAATCTTCTTCTGCGTTAGCCCTTTAAAGGTTGTTAGTGCATTGGCTCGTAGTTTACAGATAGGGTGCGATATCTGTACCTGTCAGCCCAACACTTTTGATTTAGGCGAACTCTTAATTAGTCGCCTTTTAGGACATGCTTGTTAAGCCCAATGGGTCTATTCTGTTACCTCTTAACTGGAGGCTACAAAATCTATGCGAGGGTGGAGTAAGAAACAAACAAAAAGCCCGAGCTTGATAAATATCTTAACTCTAGTCTGTAGACCAGAAACCATCACTGGCCGTCTCGAGCTGTAGCGAAAAGTTTTCTTAATGACAGCGCTGAAAACTACAGAATGCGAAATTGTCAGCACATTTTGTCTTCCTGGGCACGAATAAACAAAACAGTCTCTATGCAATAGGGGCTGCGTGGTCTCGAGGCATAGTCCTAGAGGTTCAATTCCCGGCAATGGGTGGGATTTTTTCACATGGACTTGGACTTCTAGTAATTCCCCCTGGTCACTGGATAGTGAGGTCGGACGCCCGTATGCATTGTTGCGCACGTAAAAAAAATCCCTTGGCAGTTGGAAATCGAAAAGAGTAGACTAACGGCGCTGCCCAGGCAAAATTTGGAGTTAAAAATCTACCCAAAGTATTTCAGGATCCTCACCGGAACCTCTAGCACTCGAGGCGGACACCAGGCCTTTAGACCACGAGAAGTATAGTAAACCAACACAGCACTGATGCTGTCATTCGCCACACACTGGGATCCTAGCGCTCATGGTTTTGTCCCATGTGCAATTAGGATAATCTGTCGATTATCATCAGTACTACTTACTTCGTCCCACAGAAAAATGCGAAACACAATCGGTGGTAAATAAAAATAATTTGGTATGAAATTGTATGTGTTATGCTGGTGAATGCAAGCAGAAGGAGACTGGAAAGACGCAGTAGAAGAGAAAGAAGACGGACACATTTAATAATAAGTAAGATACATAATCATACCGTCTTTTTTAGGATGCAATTTTTCGTTATTTGAAGCCCTACTCAGGCTCATGCCAGGGGCCGCAAGATAGCCTGGCCATAAATATGGCCTAATGGCTGAACGCGGTTTCTGGGACCTCTCCACGGTGATCCTCATCCACATGGTGGCACATTGTGTCATCGGGTGTTTATCGCTTGTGTGATGTCCTGGTAGGGTAGAAAGTCAGTCAGTCAGTACATTTAATAATTATGTCATCTCGAATCTAAATATAATCACGTTGCTTAGAAAGAAAGCAGTTAAGCACAAAGAAGCCAGCTTATCATAAATTGTAGAAAGAAGCAACGCCCACTCTTTATCATACAATGAGATGATAAAAACGAGAATATATTGTAATAACGGACAGATTTATGAAAAGTAGATATAATGGAAGATATCCATAGAAGATTCTTGACAGCTTTTCATCAACACGTAGAAGAGTTTCACCAGCTATATGCAGATATTAAAAGCAGAATGGGTCAAGCGAAGTCAGCATTTCAGAAAATTAAAAATATCTTATGAAATAAGTTGCTCTCATTTAATGTCAGAAAGAGTGTGCTAAAATGTTACAGAAAACCTTTCTGTTGTACGGTAGCAAATCTTGGAATGTAAGTGAACAAATTAAGAGGAATTTGGAAGCAACAGAGATGTGGTTTCTGAGACAAATACTACGAATATCTTGAACTGCCAGAGTAACTTGTTTGAAAGAAGCTAATGAAAGTAGATCTCTATATACAACAATAAGAAGGAGACAAACACTGTTCTTTGGCCACGTAGTGCGAAAAGAAGCATTGCAAAATATCGTGACAACTGGAAAGATCAGTGGAAAGAGGGATAACAGCAGACCAAGAGAGATAAGGCTGAATGGGCTGAAACGATGGCATGGATGGCTATCATCAAGAGAGATGTTCCAAGCAAACAGGGAACGTGATCTGTAGAGATGCATGAGTGCCTGTGCCAGGTAGCAGGGCACATGGTGAAACGAAACATGCAGCATGTCGGTGTATTTAATTTGGGTATTGCGAAAGCGCTTCATAATGCCGGGGTGCCGGGTTCAATCCCAGCTGCGGACGATTTGTCTTCCTTTCGTTTCGACAGTGGTACCGAGAGCTGATAAAGCAATGGCAAATTACTCAACGTAATATTTGCCTAGAAAACCCTCGACAGCCCACAATTTATGGGGTTGGTTCTGCGACGTTCTGTAAAGGAAACGCAACTAACTTTTCTTTGCAGCTTAACGAAGTTTGATGTGGTAAACATTTTATAAAAGAGAAGAAATAAAAATTGCGTGTGTTATATGTGTACGATTAAATTAACCTTCTGCTTGCCTCAACAGGAAGTCGATACTAAATATACACCCCTCTGCTCCTTCTGGGACATCAGCCACAAGTGAGTACATATTTCAAATCTGTTAACATAAGGTATGTGTGGGGTAAATTGTTGTTATGGAATACATTCATATATATATATATATATATATATATATATATATATATATATATATATATATATATATATATATATATATATATATATATATACATATTCATAAGAGAGCGAAAAAAGATTGGGAAAGGGGGGGGGGGTAAGAGAGAGATAGGATGTTTTGCTGTATGGCAGTTCAAAATGAAAAAAAAAACATTAATTTTTAGATTTCGGGCTGGACACTGTTGTCTTCGAGCACACCTGTACAGGATAGGCATAAAAAGAATCTGCTGCCTGTGATTGTGGAGCAGAAAGACAGACCCCTGGGCACATACTACAGTACTGCCCTTACCTCTCCCAGCAAAGACTGTGGATCTGGCCCAGGGGATCCACATTGCGAGAGAAGCTATGGGGGACCGGTGGTGACCTTAAACGCACAATCCTATTTGTGACCCAGACGGGACTAAATGTTTAGCATGACTGATGTCGAACGCAGAAGAAGAAGCTGTATGGCAGTGTTTCCCAAACTTTTCTTAGCTGCGGCGCCTTTTTTTTTCAATTAAAACGTGTCCACGATGCCCTAACCTAAGTAAAAGTATGACTATTCGTATCTAAGAGATTAAAAACAAATTAAAACTCGTGTATCTTCGAATATGTGGCAGCGCCCCTGTGAAGAGGTCGCGGCTCCCCGGGGCACCGCGGCCCAGTTTGGGAATCACTGCTGTATGCCATTGACGACCCTTTTCCCCACATTTCACAATCTCCTTCAGAATGAACCTTTTATTTTCTTGATATTTGATTCTACAGCTTATTATGTTGTTGTTATTGTAGTTATCATTGTTGTTGTGATATGATTACAGTAAACAGTTCGGGTACTGGTCACAAGATGGCTGCCATATTTTGCGAACGAACAAGACACACACTACCTGTGAATGTAACCACATGACTAACTTCGCCATCTTGATGGATTTGCATGGAATAGAGGTAAAATCGTTAGATGCCAGTCTGTCTGTCTGTCTGTCTGTCTGTCTGTCTGTCTGTCTGTCTGTCTGTCTGTCTGTCTGTCTGTCTGTCTGTCTGTCTGTCTGTCTGTCTGTCTGTCTGTCTGTCTGTCTGTCTGTCCTGTCTGTCTGTCTGTCCTGTCTGTCTGTCCTGTCTGTCCTGTCTGTCTGTCTGTCTGTCTGTCTGTCTGTCTGTCTGTCTGTCTGTCTGTCTGTCTGTCTGTCTGTCTGTCTGTCTGTCTGTCTGTCTGTCTGTCTGTCTGTCTGTCTGTCTGTCTGTCTGTCTGTCTGTCTGTCTGTCTGTCTGTCTGTCTGTCTGTCTGTCTGTCTGTCTGTCTGTCTGTCTGTCTGTCTGTCTGTCTGTCTGTCTGTCTGTCTGTCTGTCTGTCTGTCTGTCTGTCTGTCTGTCTGTCTGTCTGTCTGTATTTCCCCTCAAAACAGAAAAAGAAGCAGCGAAGAAGGAACAGGATGTATATCCGGTTATTTGTGTATGTGTATGTTTGTGAATCTTAACCACCACCACTACGACGACAACTACGACTTCTTCTTCTTTTCTTCTTCTTTTTCTTCTTCTTCTTTTTCTCTTCTTCTTCTTCTTCTTCTTCTTCTTCTTCTTCTTCTTCTTCTTCTTCTTCTTCTTCTTCTTCTTCTTCTTCTTCTTCTTCTTCTTTTATTTTTATTTTTATTCTTTTTATTTTTCTTCTTCTACTTTTTCTTCTTCTTCTTCTTCTTCTTCTTCTTCTTCTTCTTCTTCTTCTTCTTCTTCTTCTTCTTCTTCTTCTTCTTCTTCTTCTTCTTCTTATTCTTCTTTTTCTTCTTTTTCTTCTTCTTCTTCTTCTTCTTCTTCTTCTTCTTCTTCTTCTTCTTCTTCTTCTTCTTCTTCTTCTTCTTCTTCTTCTTCTTCTTCTTCTTCTTCTTCTTCTTCTTCTTCTTCTTCTTTTTCTTCTTCTGCCTGATGATTTCACTACCATGCGACTTCAAGAGTCTCATCCTGACTAAAATTCAAAGTGGTAAGAATCAAGCTACCCCGTTCTATCTACGAAGGAATTATAGTTAGGTAATTTGTAACGGCTACACAAAGAGGCAGCCCTGCAAAGAAAATACCCACTGTCCTTTAACAAGCACCTTGTAGAAGATGAATAGGGTTTGCTGATGTTGCATGTGTTGGGCCTAAAGATATACAACAGATATCGCAGCCTAGCTGCAAACCACAGTGTAATTTGTCAGCCTCTCTTTAAAAGGCGAACGGAGTAGGAGGAGGTTAGGGAAAGAAGGTTTGTTGATACTGGGTGTGTTGGGCCTAAAGATATACCACAGATATCGCAGCCTAGGAGCAAACCACAACGTTATTTGCCAGCCTCTATTTCAAGGGTTAATGAAGTAGGTGGATAGAAGGATAGAGGAGGAAAAAAAAAAGAACAAAAACAATGTAAGATACTGATGAGTTTAACTGTCTGTCCTCCAGATGTCAAAAACGCACCAGTCTTTGCTGCGACTTGTCAGCATCATCGGCTGCATCATCTCGTGTGTCAGTCTACTGGCAAGCTGGGTAACATTCCAATGTTTCACGTGAGTAACTTTAGTTCTCTTTGCTATCTCAATTTGTTGTTAAAAGTTAATGTTCATATTTCAGTTAAAGTTAACCGCGTGTGGGTTCCGGGGCCCTATTATAGGGAAAGGGAGTCCCCGTGGCTAAGCGGCCAGACGTTCGCCGCGGATCGGAAGGTCGTGGGTTCGCTCCCTGTCGGAGCCGGACTTTTTTTTAAAATGACCCTGACTCCCAGGTCGACCCAGCCTTAAGTGGGTACCGGGTGCAGTCTTGGGAAGTAGATGCGGCTGACGTGATCTTTACTTGTTTACCTTATATCGAGCCAGTTTTAAGACATGGCTGTGAATCCTGGACAATTATTAAACAAGCTAATTTCTTGGCGCCTCAGAGATGTGGTTTTACAACCACTGATATTAATAAGATTAAGGCAAAGAAAATGGCGCTATTTTCGGCTTATTCTGTTTGTGATTTTAAAAAAAAAAACATCAGAGAATCATCGAACAGACACTGAACTGGAAAATGAAAGGATTAAGAAAACAAGGACGCCCAAATGAAACCATAAAACGAACGCTGATGAGAGAAGCCAAGGTGGCTGGATTCTATCCATGATGATGAAGATACTGCACATTGTAGAACGGAATGGAGGAATTGACTGTGAGCCCCAAGCATCATATAATGGCACAACAGGACACAGATAATTATGATGAAATCAGATATGTTTGGCCAAAAAGTTCTGATATCGCAGCATAGCTGTAAACCACAATGCAACGTGCCAACAACAGCAGCTTGTTTTAAGATGAAAGAAGGTCGGGGTCATCTGTTCTCCCCTTGGAGCTGCTATCTGAAGGTGTGACCAAGACCGTCTCCATCTGACAGGCCATACTGCTGACGTCACCAAACCGGGCTGACGACACTCTTGTATGTAAATATATATATATAATTCTCAAGCTTATTACTAAAATTGTTGTGGAGAACGTCAGGGAACACAGTGGAAAACTAGACTGTCAGAGTGAAAACTGTACGTATGGTTAGCCCGGTTTGGTGACGTCAGCAGCATGAGACGGTCTTGGTTTGACCACTTCATTCCACATTTGAAGTTATCATTTGAGCAACATCCCCCCCCCCACCCCCGTGTGGGTTCCGGGGCCCCATTGTAGGGGAAAACAAGAATAGACCCACTGCCTACCCAAAAGCATGTAAGGGAGTCGACTAATTGGGGAGCTTCCTTTGAAGTCGGAGTGCATCTGCCGGAGAGGCAAGGAACCAACAGTCTGTATTCAAGAGAATGAGATCTGTAAAACTGATGCACACGCAACACTCAGGTTCTGGAGCAGGACTGCAGACGAACAACCAGAACTTTCCGCCAGAGTGTACAGCTGGTGAACGTGAAGAAGAAGAAGAAGAAGAATTAGAGCAACAGTTACGGGCACACAGTAGCATGTGCGGATAAATAATCTTCCTGTATGTCGGTCATCGGCCTTTGGTATTTTACGCTCTATTTTCCTTCTCAACATTCGCCACTTTGTTTGTGCTAAAGATTCCACGCTATGATTCTACCCAGAATTCTTGGTAACGAAAGCCAGCTTGACAACAACTACACTTACTGCGTAAAACGCTGAAGTATAACATTGAGTTACATTCCTCCTCCCTGGTTATTTCCGTTTCAGTTTTTACGATCCACCATAAACACGAGAGCGGTAACAGACAGCTTCACCTTCGTTTATTTTCATCGCTGTCAGTTCCTTTTTCTGTGCTCTTGCTTTCAATTAACGGTAACACCTTTCTTCAGTATAGTGTTTCGTTGTGTTTCTTTCTACTCTTCTGTTGGGAGCTGTTATGGTATAGCGGCTAGACTCTCGCCTGCGGATCGGAAGTGAGTGGGGTTGGGTCCTGACAGGGGTCGGACTTTTTTCAAACATAACCCAGCCTTGAGTGGGTAGTAAAGGTGGCCTGTGTGATGCTGACCACATCACCCACCAAGTACTGTTTCGTCTATATAGGTCTAGCCCTATATACCCAATACGCCTGCAGTCAAGGAAAAAGGTCCTTTACTTACTCTTCCGTCATCATTGCTACCTACCTGTCCTTTTGTTTTTTTTATTTCTTTATCTGTGGTCTTATTATGTTCTCGTTATTATCTGAGTTTTCTCTCATTCCCTATCGTCTTATTCTTCTACTGCCACGGCTGCTGCTGATTATGATACTACCACCAATATTGCTCCTCATGGCGCCGGACCTTTTTCCATACATGACCTTGGCTCCCGGGTCAACCCGGCCTTGAAATGGTACCAGGTAAAGTCATGGGAAGTGACCACATCACACAGGTTATGCCACTAGTCTTACAAATATAGGTCTAGCCCTATATGCCCCAATATGACAGAAGGCTTGGAAAAGGGTCCTTTACTTTTTTCTTACTTACCAATACTGCTAAAATGTCTAGACAAGGGTCGGGGGTAGGAGGGAGAAGAGAGAAATTTAACGAGAGAGAGAGAGAAAGAGAGAGAGAGAGAGAGAGAGAGAGAGAGAAAGAGAGAGGGGGTAGATAAGATATAGAAATGATGTTAAATGTACACACAAGCGGTAAATCAACTTTTAAGCTCAAGCTTAACGATCTATTCATCGTCGTATCAGAAGACCTCTACATTCTCTTGTGGGCATCATTCTTGCTATTACAATTCTTTCTAAAGCGCTGTATCCTTAAAAGATATCTAAGTATCATCATCAGTTATTCCCTGTGTGCGTTTCCTGATCACATTTTTTTTTTGGGGGGGGGGGGGGGGAATAAGAAAAGACCCACTGCGCCCTACTCACCTCCTACTCCTCATAAGCATGACGTTAAAATGTCAATAATTAGGGGTGTTTCATTGGAAATCGGAGTGAATCTTCATAAGATGCAAGGAACCAACAGTCTTCAGACAAAGAAGCCAGATTTGGCCCAGTTCTAAGCCCCACGGGGTGGGAGGGGGGGGGGTAAGAATAGATCTACTGCCCCTTGAGAACACGTCGAAAAAGTCCACTAATTAGGGGCGTTTCTCTCTAAGTAAGAGCGCATCTGAATGCAAAACTCAAATTCTGCAACAAGACCAAAGTCCCAAAGCAGACGAACAGTCAAAATTTTTCGCCGGAGTTTGCAGCCGGTTAACCCCAAAGAGAAGAAGAAATCTTCAGTAATAGTTACGTTTGCATAAGCTTCCATAGACGCACTCCACGTGAATGTTTTCCGCGTCGTTCTTATTTACTGGTAACTAAATTTAACAGCTAGACTGGCTTCTTTCATTGACATTAGACGATTATCTGGCTCGTGTGACGTCATTGTGTGTATGAAAACAATAAAGACCTTATACGAAAGCTGGAAGTACATGGCTACATGTGAACAGGTTGTTTTCTATAAATCCGTTATCCGAAAAAAAAATAGCTAGAAACGTGCAATAAAACTGGGGGGCCGGGCTAACTGATGAACTGTTTGATAAGGGGGCGGGACTGTGCAGCTCTGTGGCTTAGACGTGTCCCATGTCGGTTCCTGGGCCCTATTAGCGTCACTCCATTAACTACAAACATGCAAATTGTATGTTTTGAATCGCATTTTTTTTTTTAAATTACCGCAATTGAGGCAAAGTAAGGACTAGATGTTTGTTTACATTTTAATGATGTTCCTACTAGGACATTGTTATTAACATGTTACATACCAAATTTTGATAATTTTTACCGAGCGGCGAGTTACAGATTTTAAAAATGCGGCATGACTTTTGGAACGGACTACATAATTGAACCGGCATAAAATAAATGAGTACCGTATAATGTCCGGCGTCCGTGGCTTAGGCGTTGCAAGTCCGACTCGTAATTCCAATGTTGGCTGCGTGGATTTTAATCCTGGTATGGGGAGTCGCAGGTCGACCCAGCCTAAAATGGGTACCAGGATGGCTGTCCTGGGGAAGTAAAGACGGCTGGTGTAATGCTGACCTCATTACCCACGTAGTGCCGATTGGTCTGTACAAATATGGGTGCTCTTCAGATATGTCCCATGCGCCTAAGGGCGTGAAAGGGGATCTTTACTTTACTTTCACTATATATTGTCCTCTCAATCTTCTGAGACTTGACTGAGAAGGAAAGATATCAGGAGGGAATATTACCACCCTATCGCATCTGTCGAGCGCTCGAAGATATAAAGCCCAAACAAACACTTCACAGCCCAAACGCAGTTTCCTTTACGCGATTACTTTCTCCTCTATTCTGATTTACATAAGGCACAAAACTACAAATAGCACCGGTTGATATCTTGTGTGTGGGTTTCAGCTAAATTGTGATATATGCGCCTTTTGACCTAATATATCCGATTTCTGCAATCCCTTAATAAGTATTTTTTACAGCAATGCTTTTATAAGAAAATGTCACCTTTTTTCACCCCCCCCCCCCTTTTTTTCCCCCCCACCCAAAATGTGGTTCCAGTACCCAAGCCTGTGGGTAGGGAGGAGGGGAGAGCTCTTCATATTACTATTTTTGTTATTTCCTTATGACTCAACAAGCGGGGAATTCCCTGTAGATTC